TGGTTCGGCCTTGGTGGGGAAGGTGCGCCACCCAGTGGTGAGTTCTCTATAGCACCTTCAGCAGCTGTACAAAAACCGTGTCTCTGAGAGTGGAGGCGTGCAGTTGGTGCCGACAGTTTCGGTTGGGGTGGTTGTGCGTTCCTGACTTCTTACCACATCTCCAACTCCAAGCGACCTTCTGCTGCACATCTGCTGTAACAACGCAATAAAGAGAGATTCAAACAAAGCCCATCTCCAGTTTGTTCTGATCGACACACAGTGGCGAGTGTATATATCCCACCAGCTTCAACTTCAGAGTAGATCCTCATCTACAATTGTTACAGTAGTAAAAACAGGCACTTTTTCTGATTGTCCTGTTGATGAAGCCATTTATTTAAAATTAATGCTTAAAATGCAGGAATTACATTTAAAGCAGTAAATCAGTTATTTATTAAAATGTTCAAAACAAACTACATTATACAATGGATCTGGTCCATGGAGGACCGAGTCCTGGTGGATCCGGTTCTCACAGTCTGAAGGATTTCATGCCTCAGAGATTCCTACAGGACACAAAGAAATATTTTATTTTAATCACTTGCTGTTAGTTGGTTTTTTATTATATTCAGGGATGTACAGACCCATAAACTACCAATCAAAACTTTTTATATTATATTTCCAATGGATGCGAAGGACGGAGCGCCAGGTGAAGCTGGTAGGATAAATCAAATAAAAACACTTTGTGTTTCTGAATAATTACACTGCTATGATAATTCATCAATTAAGGACTAGGGCTAGATAATAATTCATAATAAACAAAGGCTATCTTGAATAAATTCAAATATACAGAAAGACACTAGCCTGACGCTATTAGCATGCAGAAGCGCTAGCATAGCTCAGTAGCATAGCTTACTCACTGATCACTACTTTGTGATGATAGCTGATCAATTAAATCGATTAACATTAATAACGATAACGTGGAGATAAATAGTTAATATATTAGATATTTCTCTTACCCTCCTCTGTCGCTGCCAGGCTCAGGTCCAAACTGTCAGTGGGTCGTCATAGCAACGCCGCTGTTGGAACGGGTTAATATGATTGGCTGAAAAATAGGTTACCCAACGTGGGGCTCCGTTCATATGATTGGCTGAGACAAGGAAGCTATCTGATTGGTTGCTGATCATCCAACCAGATAGACCATTTATTAAAAAAAGACATTTATGTATTGAGACGTCAGAGTCTCAACATTCACACACAAATGCAGCGAAACTCTCAGGCCAGAAATCAAGATCCATAGTGAGGATGGAGATCAGAGCCTCAGAGGAGGAAGTGAAACTGCTTCTAGTTTCTAAATCAACTTCCTGTATCTACAGATCACAATGAAGGACTTCCTGTCTAAACAGGAAGCAGTTCATCTCCAGCGTTCTGTGAGTCGGGTTCTGGTTCCCTAACCAGTTTCCACCAGAGGAAGATCCAACTGCAGATCTGAAGGTTCACTGAGTGAGTTGGTTCCAGCATCAGTAAAGGTCAGAGGTCACCACTCCAGTCTGAGCTCAACATGTCCAACCTGGTTCTGATCTGTGGGTTTTCATGTCAGTTTGTTTATTATTATTATTTCTTAAACATCATTACTTTATTAAATTAAACTGAATTTATCTTAATATTTAATAATAAAATTCATTAAGTTTCTGTTCTGGTTGGTCATTCCTCCATATTTCCCTCAGGTAAGGAATCTCTGGGTCATCAACAGAACCTGGGACCGTCACCATGGTAACCAGGT